TTATTAAAAATACTTCACTAAAAAATATCATTTTATATCTGAAAGACTTGTAATATTAACTGAATGACTGCCAAATTTCGTGAAGATATACCCACTTTATTGAGAGTTACAAGTATTAAATCTATAAAGAGTTTAAATGAGTAAAAAAAGGTCACGTAGTCGGTCAAATTGACCAAGCCCATATTGAGAGAATTATTATGGCATCATCAGGTACTTAGCACAACTAAACACAACAATTCAATGCATTCACTGGTGTCTCAACAAACATAACCTTGTCTTTAGCATAAGTACAAATTAACTCCTTGTATGTTTTATTTATTATAGGTTTGTATACCTTTATTAAAATAGCTTCCTTTATTTTACATTTATTAATATTAGGTTCTTGACAATTAATTTTAACAATTTATTTTCACTACAATGTTTTAAAATGTTAGTAGACACATGCCAGAGCATGTCCATGTTTTGTTATTCTAATACTTTAATTTCTACCAGTCTCCCTTGTATAAAGATTATTACAGTCTGTACATTCTACACTGTAAACTACTACTTTCTCAACAGTCGTTGGTTTAATTCAATTTTTTAATATTGTATTCAACTTTTTTCTTGGTAGAAAATAAAGTTACCCACACTTGGAAGTTTATATATCTTTTCTATTTTTTTCCACAGGTTTTCTTATTGTATTTTCCTGTTTTGGTTTTTTTCTGTCAACCTATCAGTTCTTAAGTATTTTCTAACAACACAAATAGGATAGTCATTCCTCTTCACCAGTACATTTTCCAGATAATGTTCCTCTTTATCCACCTGTTCTTTTGAACTGTAATTGGTTTTTGCAATAGCCAATAGAGTTTCTATAATTCGTTTTTTCAGATTTGTGATGAGCTGACAACCAATTTAAGTACAGATCAGCATGTGTTTCCTTCTTAAATACTTTTGTTTTAAAAGCATTATTAACCCTACTAACCATGACTTTAAGAAAAGATAACTGGTTAAGTTTAATATTAGGATGCAGTGAATTTAAAACTACTAAAAATTGTTCAACCATTTGTTCAGAAATGTAGACCCAATACTTTAAGAATATATCACATAAAATATATCTTAACACTAAATTATGTTGTTACACTGTAGACACAATACTGTAACAATCTATCACAGAATATATCTTGACACTAAATGTATGTTGTTACATTAGATGCAATGCTGTAGCAATCTATCACATATATCTTGACACTAAATGTATGTTGTTACATTAGATGCAATGCTGTAGCAATCTATCACATATATCTTGACACTAAATGTATGTTGTTACACTGTAGATACAATAGTGTAGCAATCTATCACATATATCTTGACATTAAATTATGTTGTTACACTGTAGATACAATAGTGTAGCAATCTATCACATATATCTTGACATTGAATTATGTTGTTACACTATAGACACAATACTGTAACACTATATCACGTACAATGTATCACTAAATGTATGTTGTTATGCTATAAACAATACTGTAACAATCTATTTAAAATGGTAGTTTTTGAGTCAAGAATTTATTTTGTTACCCTGTGTGGACATGATAATACTGTAACAATGTAGCAAATAAAATAGTTCTTGACTAACTATATGATGCTAAAATTGTAACACTGTGACAGTGTAGCAAGTACACTGGAATGTTTTCCATTACACTGTAAACTTACCTAAATGTTTGTCATTATGCTAATATCACATCAGGAACAGTGTGTTTGTCATTATGCTAATATCACATCAGGAACAGTGTGTATATATTATTATGCTAATATCACATCAGGAACAGTGTGTTTGTTATTATGCTAGTATTGTGTCAGGAACAATGTGTTTATGTCATTATGCTAGTATCGTGTCAGGAACAGTGTGTTTATGTCATTATGCTAACATCGCGTCAGGAACAGTGTGTTTATTTCATTATGCTAGTATTGCGTCAGGAACAGTGTGTTCATGTCATGATGCTAATATCACATCAGGAACAGTGTGTTCACGTCATGCTGTACTGTATACATTCACATTGAATATTTTCCAACTTATGTTGTTTTGTGTTTCTTTCAGGTGATATATCATTACACTGGGGCAGACCTGAGTATTTACAGTTACCTGAGTATTTTACTTCCATTTGTCATCCTACTGGTCATGGTTCGAAGTTTACGACACTTAGCATTAGCATCCACTGTTGCGAATGTTTTCCAGATTATGGGTTTATGTATAATTTTTTTCAACTTGTTTCAAAATGTGCCACCTACTTCCTCGAGACCATTTACTCAACCTCTTTGGAAGCTTCCTCTCTATTTTGGCACAACAATATTTGCATTTGAAGGAATAGGAGTTGTAAGTACATTAAAAAGCTTCAAATATTGTTTGATAAAAGTTCTTTGTTTTATAATTTATAAATTACATTTTCTTTGCTGATTGCTGGCCTTAAAGAATTTTGTAACACTTTTTATTGGTACAATGACATTTTGTTATAAACTTCATGCTCCATTTTGCTGTCTTATGCCCTTTTATGCTATTTGGTGTTTCTTTATTTTATTTAATATTTATTTGTGTTATCTGGTGTTCCTTTATGTTATTTAATATTCATTTGTGTCATCTAATGTACCTTTGTGTTAATTTAATGTTTGTTTGTGTTATCTAATGTTCCTTTTTATTATCTGGTATTTTTTTGTTAGTGAACCACAATTCCTATGCTTCTGTACCTTTCTTTTCTTGCATAATCCAAAACTTTGACTGAGCAATTAGTATAAGTGGTGCTGCCAATTGTTTATCTTTCTCTTTTAAAATATATTTCCAGAAATAAATTTCTACAACTCCGGGACCATAACCTTTGTTTAAAGTTAACTTCAAATTATTATATATTTCTAATGATTCTTTTTTATTCAGTTCATATTTATTATCAGAATATTTAATCAGTTTAACATTATTACAGTTAACACTGTGAGAAAGAGGGTTGTTTGCCATTTGTTCAGCTAAAGCCATTTCATTAATTTTCTATGTGTTTTTAATAGCTTTCTGTTCATTAAGTCTAAATTTAATAACTTCTATTTGTTTGTCCAGTATACATTAGATCAAAGTAACAAGAGATTTTATAAATACCACATTTATCTATTAATCTAACTTTATCTTTAAGAGTAGCAGTAAATGACTAACCCAAGGTGATTAAGTTACATGATAGTTAATATACACCTGGAAAAAAGTTAAGCACCCCCGTGTTTTTTTCAAGTGATTCAGATTCGACTC